GGGGCGAAGATGGCAAGCAGACCAAGCAGCTCGAAACCGTTGCCCTCAGCCTCGACCTCACCGGAGGGAACCTCCTCGAAAGCGACGGCGAGACCACGCAGACCACGGTTGGCAAACTCCTCGACGTCGGCCTCGAGGCGGTTCTCCTGGTCCTCGGTCTTGTTGCGCTTGCAGAGGTCGATGATGATCGAAGTCATACCCTTGGTGACACGCTTCATCTTGCCGGTGGCCTCCTCGAGGTAGGTGATCTCCGTGCGCTTGTCGACGGGGTTGAAGGGCTTGAAGTCGAGCAGCTTGATGCCGTTGCGAGCCTCAGCAGGGTCCTTGAGGGTGCCGACGATGGTGGCGTCGATGGCGTCCTGGTTCTCGGTACGCGAAGCGTAGGCGGCGAAGCGGATGACGTCCTCGACACCGGCCCAGTCCGAGTAGAGCTTGACGAGCTCGGTGTCGATGGTGAGCTTGTTGGTGGTGAGGGTACCGGTCTTGTCAGAGCAGAGGATGTCGACACCAGCAAGCTCCTCGATGGCGGTGATACGGGTGACGATAGCCTTGTGCTTGGCGAGCTGCTGAGCACCGACGGCGAGGGTAACGGACAGAACACAGGGCATGGCGATGGGGATACCACCGATCAAGAGCACCAGGATGTTGTCGATACCACGGCGGTACCTGTAGCGGAAGCCGGCGTAGAGGATAAGGATCTCGAGGACGATGAACAGACCAATGGTGACCATGCAGAACAGACCGATGCGGGAAAGAACCTGCTGCAGGTGACCGGTGGTGTCGTCGTCGGAGCCAATGAGGGTAGCGGCACGACCGAAGAAGGTGTTGGGACCGGTCGAGATGACAACACCCTCGGCCTCACCCTGCTTGCAGATGGAACCGGAGAAGCACTGGTCACCGACCTTCTTGCTGACGGGGAGCGATTCACCAGTGAGCGAAGCCTGGTCGCACGAAACATTGATGGCGTCGAAGAGACGGCAGTCACCGGGGACGATGTCACCGATCTTGAAGGCGACGACATCACCGGGCACGAGGTCCGAGGACTCGATCTCGATCCACTTGCCGTCACGCTTGCAGCGGGCCTTGGGGGCGAGCGAGTCCATGAGCGCCTTGACGGCGTTACCGGCGTTGCGCTCCTCGATGTAACCGATGGTGGAGTTGATGAGCAGAAGGAGGACGATGCCGACGAAGTCTGGCCAGTCAGGGGCCTTGCCCTCACCGTTGGAGAGGGCGATGGCGACAATGGCGGCACCCTCCATAACCCAGGAGAGGGGGTTCCACATGAAGGAGAGGAACTGGAGGATGGGGTTGGGCTCCTCGGTCTCGATCTTGTTGGGGCCGAAGATGCCGCGGCGGCGAGTGCACTCCTCCTCGGTGAGACCACCCTCGTTGCACTGGAGGAGGGTCCAGACATCCTCGAGCTCGATGGCCTCGATGTCGACCTTCGTCTTGTCGTAGAGGTCCTCGGCCTTGAGCTCGATGGTGCTCATGTCAACGAGAGCATGCTTGGGGCCGCTCTCGCCGTGCTCCTCATCGATGTCGCGGTGCTTGGTCACCTTCTTTTCCTGCTGAACCTCCGACATGTTGGCGGATTGATATGGGGAAGGAAAAAGTCTAAAGATGGATGAAAGAGCGATTTATAGGGGGAGGATGAACAAGCGTCAGTGGATTGTGCTTGTAGATGTGGGTTTAATGCAGAGGAGGTGCTGCCAAGATTTTATAATTGTGGGAGGGCCTCCGACTCCGAAGCCGCTCGCCACTAGTTATGAAGCCCCTGTTGCGTACGCCCGCCTCTGCGCGCCGGCAGCCTCTATGCGCCCCCCTCTCGCATCGAGACGGGTCGCCCGGGGCACCAAGCGGAGGAGGCCGTAGAGCGGCATGGGCAGGAGAGGAAATTCGAGCCAACTTACCCTGTGCGTGACTACTCGATCGGATTCGCTCAAGCTTAGGATCAGAGGCAAACCCAGTTGCTCGATCCAGAGGATGAGACGGAGGGAAGGGGGGTAGGACTGCTTTCAGACTCGCGAGAGACGAAAAGCAAAGTGAAGGTCGGGAGACGGCGCTTGTGCCTAATCTCTTTTCCGTGCGTAGGTCGAGTTGACGAACGGACGGAGGGGGAGGGTTGATGGAAGGATGGAGGTAAAGGTGAGAAAGTGAGCCTGGACGATCAGAGGAGGATGCTTCTACTATATACTCTTTGAGGGCTCTTGCTCTTCGGGGGGCCGCCGAAGAGGAGGGCCTCACAGACACGGGCATGGACGGCGGCCAACTTCGCACCACGGTCACAACACACTGGTGCAGCGAAAAGGCCTCTCTTCTGGCGCAAGCTCATGCAGAAGTTCTCGTGTTTGCATGGCAACAGCCCGGCAGCCAGAGCGAGCAGGCGAGGGCACAGGGGTGGGGGACGAGCCAACGGCCTGCGGCACCAGGAAGAACGGAGCCCGTTTCTGGTCGGCACAACCGAAAAAAGGCGAAAGATAACCAGCCCACACGCAGGAAAAGAGCGACGGAGGCGGAGGCGCCGGGCGGACAGTCAAGCCCGCTGACCGACCTGGCTCCATATCTCCCAGAATCTTGGCCAATCGGCAGGCATTTGAGCTGCTTCCCCCTCCAAATCAACGGCAAAGGCCAGGGCGACGGCAACAAAGAGCACGACGCCCGAGCTCAGACAGAGCAAAGGCGGGCGTAGGGCGACCGACGGGTGTCAAACTTGCGAGTGGCGAGCAGCAGCAACCCATGCACTCATGCAGAGTAAGTCAAGCCCGCCTGCTGGGGCGCAAAGAGGGGAACCGAATCCAACGTGCAGTTTTCCTCCCTTTGCCAGGGCCAGCTGCGAGCGGCAGCTCAAATGCAAGGCTGCAGCCCGCCCCAACACGCAGACAACAAGAGAGACTGGAAAAAAAATCAAAATCAAAAAAGGTCCGAATCCTCGAAAACCGAAGTTCAAGGCGCGAGGGTCTCTCCGTCTTGACAGCTCCAGTGCCTGTCGGGCTGTTGCAGGATCGATCGACACGGACCTGTCAAGCAACGAGCGAGTTTGAAATCTTTCGCACTTTTGACTGCTTGGCAGCCCACACGGCCCGGCACCCTAATGTTTGCGTGCCTTGAGCCGACGCAAAGAAAAAGTTTTCGCCCTCGACCCGCCACATGGAGCTATTCGGCGCTCGCTGCCCTCCGGCCCGTAGACCGTGCCGCCCTTGAACAGCCTTGCCAATTGGTCATTCGGCATTAGTCGCACTCAGATGGCCATCCGTGGATCACGGTGCTAAATTCTTCAACGTTAACGCCGTTCGTCTGACAAGGCTTGAATTGGTCTTGCGAACGCCAATGAGCTAGGGCGTGTTGTGGGCGCGAGGGCGCAATTGTATCTTTTGCAGGCTCGTGCAGAAGGAGGTCTATTGCTCATACCTGAGCCAGGCAACGGGCAGCCAAGACTTGCGAATGGAATGGCTTGGCCTCGCCCCTGGAAGCGACGCTCAGAAGGGAGCTCGCATCCTGTCAAATCGACCGCATCAGGGACGTCGCGAAGAAATGGCGAGACCGTCTACTGTATTTCGTTTTCCGACTGCCCTCCCCAAATGGGGGATCTGCCCCGGTCGGCCAATCAGGCTGCTTGGCTTAGACTTGCCCATGCTGCTCGCTGCAGTGATCGACCGCGGTGCTGCGGTATCTCCGCCATGCCGACCGAAGCGTGCAGCGCCCATCATCGAGCGCTGTCCACGCTGCCAGTTGCGGTAGCTGCTTGCGTCTTGTGCATGGCCGACGCTGTGTGGAGTTGATGCCTCGGCGTTGGCCCTGGTGTGCAGCCAAGCAAGGATGCAGCTCAATCCTTCTCTGGCAGCTGCTGCCGCTGTATTTTCGGACGAAAATGCTTTGGATCTGGCTTTGGATTCGCAGTGCTTTGGATCTGGCTTTGGATTCGCAGAGCCTCGATCAAGGCTAACAGCGGGCATGCGACGTCCGCGTTCAGGCCCCTGGCCGGCGCTCGACTACAGTTGCTGCTCCTAACGGCCTTAAGCATAGTCCGACGCAGACGCCAGCAGCTTAGCCTGACGCAGCTCGCAAGCATTTTTAGCTCAGGGGCTGCCTACAGTCAAAAAAAAATTGGCTCGCTTGGAGAGCAACGTGTCGCAGATCCGCGACGTCGAGCTTTGAGTCCTGCGAACCCTGCCAAGAGCACGCTAGGAATGCTTGGCCGCCCGCTCAGGACCTCTTTTTTCTTCCAGGACGCGTGCCTCACGCCAACAGAGCTCCTTGGCACCCCCACCTTGACTTTGCTAAACATACATGCCGCATGTTCCCCTCGCAGAAGCACCGTAGAATGAAGCTCACATATGTCATGCTCACAGCCTTGCGGTGTTCGTCGTCTCACCTAGAGTGTGGAGTCTCGATATGAGCGACGTTGGCGAAAGCGGCGGGCACAGCGGCCTCATTTCGGTGAAATGGCAAAGATCGCATTTCCGTCGCCGGTCAATCCAGACGGTCGACCTGAGACTGTCTCGCCCTGGTCTTGCGTCGATCTGGCCGCACACACACGCAGCAGATTGACGACGGCGACGGAAGAGGAGCTCTGTTGGGCTTGCGTGATTGGTGAATTTTCGGTCTCCTGCAGCTGCCACATGTGGGTGGGTCCAGGGTTGCAACAGGTCCCTTGGCCCCACCTTTTCGGCCTCGCCGGTCTGGCACCCGGCTCAATTTGTGGAAAAATGAATTTCGGCAGCAGGGCCGCGGCGGCTGCCTTCTTGACTTGTCCCGATCTGGTTGATTCGAATTCTGGTCCACTCAACGCACCTCAGGGCCCGGTTCATCGGAGATTTTTTTCCCGCCCCAGTCTCGTGGTCATCGCGGCTCCGTCAGTGACCGGGAAGATCCTGATTTCGCCTCGCGTGGGCAGGGGAGAAAAAACGGCAGACTCGTCGCTGCCGCCCACTCAATGGCTGCAGTCGTGTTTGACCTTGGCCCGTGGCTTGGGCTTTTATGGGACGAACTTGAAGGCGTCATGGGCTGCAACGCCGCAGCTCCTTTGGAATTGAGCTGCACGTCTGCCGAAAGCGACAGCTCCAGATGCCGAAAACGCAGGAATCCGCACGTCTCCCACCGCAGCGTGGTTGCTCGGCTGATAGGCCGTCCAAACCTTGCGTTGTCCGTCGAAAGCTCAACCTCGCCCCTTGCCCTTGACAGGTGCCTGAGGTCCGAATGCTTGGCCGTCGGTCGCAAGGATCCGGGAACAAGCACGCATTACATGGCTACTTTTGCCAATCAGGTGCACATCCATCCCGGTGAAATGATCCGGTCCGTGGCGAACGCGTTGCGAACAAAGCCGAAAGGGATGCGGATCGTCCGAGGGAATCTCGCCAGAGCACATGAGCTTGCAAGGTGTGCGAGCTGAGCTCGGACTGGCATCTTTTCGCGGGCTCGGATCACGGTCTTTGTGACGTGGGCGCGCGCGCCGAGTGCAATCGATCTGGTATTGCCGCAAGCCCTCGATCCCGTTGCTTCGCAACCGAAGACCCAGCCTGCTTGTATGTTCTGGCTGCAGCAGCCAGCATTCAGAGCGCCGACACGAGCAATTCGGCGACTATGCTCGAAGCTTCACCGTCCAGTCTCCACAAATCTGAGCTGGATGGACAAAAGATTCGATTCATGGCGGGGAAAGGGCTCTTCTGGGTGCAAAGCGGGGTCATTGAATGGAATGAGTGATACGACGCGAACGCCGCCCCGGAATCCCCTCAATCTGGTTTGTCAGAGGCTCTGGATGTGGGATACAATGGTCGGAGCGGCTTCGGTCGCGTGACGGCGCGAGCTGCTCGTTCCGGTGGCCAGTCTCAATTCTGCGCCAAGCCAAGGGCCCACTCCAGCCGTTCGCGCACGAGTGGTAGGTGCGAGGCATTTTTCGAACCACGGCCTCACGTTTGGTACCGACATCCCGCGGCTCGTTGGCCGGCAGGCCCGACGGACGAAGCAAGCCATGATCAGATCGAATCGGTTGGGCTTGCTCTTGGCGTCTCCATTTCACCCTCAACCCTTGCCGAGAAGCGTTGCCATGGTCATGCAAGCATCATTTGTGGGGCCCAATACGCCCAGCTACGCCTCGATCCGTCTTTGCCCTGGTCGGCTGATCGTTTGAGCAAATTTGGCCCGCGCAAGATCAAATCCAGATCAGCTGGAAGAGCGCCGAAAATGGATTCTTCCTTCTGATTTTGGTTGGGGGGGGGG